CCAATCTTTCAAAAAGAAGTGGAACTTTTGGCAATTTTTTAAAATAACGCATACATCAAAATGCTTTTTATTCATCAAAAACATTTCTAGTCAAATTGTATGCGTATCTTTTCTACAAAGAGATTGGTACCACTGAGAGACTCACCATTCCTCTCTAGTATGAGCCTCTCTCATCAAATAATTCCACTTGTTACAGTATTTCTTTGTCATAAAGCAGAATAAAATGTTTAAATGCTACTTCTAAAAAAATTAAAATTTACTGTTGCCTTGCTTGATCTCTCTCTCTACTGGCTGCGTCACTGAGTATATCAGTGCTTACCATCAACTCCGTGAAATCGAATTTGTAGAAAACAGCTTCTCTGTCCCAGTCGATATGCAGGTATGCGAGATTATTATTTACAATACGCAAAGCAAAATTACGGGCAGTTGCTGGAGCCTCTAATGAAACGGGCAACCTGAAAATGTTTCCTAATATCCAACGAAGAAGTATGAGACCAAATGGCTTTTTCCATGGAACACAAATTAAATCACAGGTTATCTGATTAGCGAGGCGCACCAGCTTTCCAATAATTTTAATCATTTCTGCAGTAGTCGTTGTGGAAATGTCAATACGCGCTGGAATGACATTGCAAAAGTCAACCGATACAAAAATATCAAAAGTTCGGACAAGATGCTTGCTCATCCGGGAGTTAATGGATGTAAATTTATAAGCCAAGATGCAATGAGGTTTGAAGACAAATCCTAGGTCCTAGACATCCGACAAACGGAAATCAAAATTCCAGTCTTAAAATCTATTTCCGCGTTTTTCGTGTCTTACAGAATCAAGCCATCCCTAAGCTTCCAGAAGTGCTATTTTTTAATGCGATTTACAGGCTCTGAGTTCTAAAAAAAGCTTTATTTTGGTACAGCTCGGCTGAGCGACTGAACACACAGAAAAATTCGACTATCGATTAATGGGTCTAGTAAGGTCTAATGAACTGACTCACAATCTCCACTGGCAATCGAGCACATCCATTTGCCAAATGGTGATCTTCTGGACCATCCCATCTGTGCCAGCCAGCTTCTCGCTCACCACATACCAAGCCATCCCTTCACGCCATGCATTACACCACACCGCTGCAATCATGCACTTTAACTAGGCGTTAAGCGATCACCACATCAGCGTTCGCCTCCACAGTTTCGACTGCATGAGTAACTTAATGACCCTTACTACAGCTGACTGGTTCAACTGACAGTCTGAGACATCCTCTCTGCAGGGCCTGTAACAAGCGGCTGTCAACGTCGCACGCCTGCGAAAACTTCCGCTACCTTACCAGTCAGGTATGTCTGCCTGGGGAAGAAACATTTTAGCAGTGGCGTAGAAAAATCAAATTGAAAACTGCAGGAACGGCACACTGAAAATGCCTGACAGGCCCTCGAACACTTATCGGAGTGTTTGGCGAACTGTGCAACCGTACAGTGTAAAAAGTGATAATGATGGCTGACAACAACGGTAAGCGCGAACAAGGCAGCTGAAAACTGTTCTCTTCATGCCAGCACCACGACATATGGCCAGCAATCCTTTCTTACGCAAAAAATACCTTTTCTGGGTGGAACCGCATTCTCCCCATCGCTCGAAACGACTCGTATGTCCCAAACACTGCCATCCAGATTCCGACTGACTGGTATACTGGCCAACTGCGTGCTCGATCGTTCAGTGGAAATGAAATGCAGATGCTGCATGATAAGAAAACTCGAGTACATTTAAAATAAATTAAAAACTAA